CTACTTACTATTAAAAACTAAACTCAATTAAATAATTAATAATAAAAAAACAAAAAATAGGTACCAAAAAATAAAGAAGGAAGATAAATTAAATAATAGAATAAAAGTCCTTCAAAGATGATATTCAGGTTTTTGAACTCATAACCTCTCTAATTCTCTACTTTGGTTTATTAGCAAGCAATAGTAACTAATGGTGTTGTTGTATTTATTTTAACATCTTAATGTTTATACTTTTGATTTAAATTCTTATCATGTTAAATTTGGAATTTGAAGCCAAAGAATCATCTATACAATAAATAAAGACTATAACTCAAAAATTACTAATAGAAAAGTAAAAAAGAAAGGTAAAAAGAATCAAAATTTAAATTTATAAATACTCACCGTTGCCTAAAAGTGCAAGGAATAAGAGAAAAAGTTGTTGATTGCATGTATGATATATATTTGGTTTAGAATTTGTTATTTATAGGCAATCGTATGTGATTTTTTTATTTTTTATTTTTTATTTCTAAAAATAATTGTTATTATATAAATATTAAGTATAATTAAAATATATAAAATTTCAATTGTATAAGTACATGTAACATGTCAATTAAATAAAATAATTAAACAGTTTAGGTAAATAATTCTAAACCTTTATACTAGTTACTTAACTTGATACTTATAGGTTAATGACCTAAATAACTCAGTAGTCATCTCCTTCCGCTTAAAATAAGAGGTTCTGAGTTTGAATCACATAACATGCGAGTAAAGTAAGATGAGTGAAAAATGGTTACCTTCCATTATGCAACCAAAATAAAAAATAAAAAATAAAGAATAAAAAAAAAACCTTGATACTTATCGATATACAATTTTCATCAACAACCTATTGGTTTAAGTAGAAGTAGCTCGGTTCTCCTTAAATAAGATCTTGAGTTTGAGTTTTATAAATAGAGAAATATGCGCTGAAAAAGTTTCTCCCTAATGGGTCTGAAGAGACTCGATTCCAGATTAATATAAATTTAATGTGGTTACCGGATACCTTGAAGTTAATAAAAATATATATATTATTTTTATACCTATTATTTAATTTTTTTTATAATTCAGATAAAATACTTACTTAAACAAGTAAAATACTTGTAAATAACGGGTATATCCGTTCTTAATACTCACTCCTAATTAGATCTCTATTTTACGCATGTATAAAAGTTTGAGTATATTTTTATATTAGAAAGTAAAATTTATTTTTTTTCCAAAAAAGGGAAATCTTTAAAATGGCCCCTAAAATATTTTCCACCAACAGTAAAGCCCCTAAGAAAATTTTGGTGTCGGATCAGGCCCTAAACTTATAAACTGTAGCAATAAGTCTTTAGTCCCAACTATGGAAAAAAGGTATCTATAAAGTTCGAGTTAGTTATTTCTATAAATAAATGCTAATGGTATCTAGTCACGTTAGAAAATTTTAACATATACTAATGGTTTTGTCTACTTTAGATATATTTATTTCCTACTTCTATAAATTTAAGGATTTATTTCCTATTAAAATTTTATTTAAAAGTTATTTATTGATGAAAAATACTGTGTATTTTCTTTTTTCCTTTTTTAATATAACAATTACAATTTTACAATGCCGCCATATAAGTAAGAAGATGCTATAATTACATTAATACTTAGAATTATAAATTTATTATAATAATATACTATGTTATATTTAGGAGCCATATATATAATATTATAAATAATTTCTTTTTTATAAATAGAATCAATATAATAATTAAACATGTTATATATTAGAACGCCAGTAAGCCGGCCGCCGGCCGTTTTTGTGTAAAGCCTTACTCGACGGCTTCCGACCAGTCTAGCCTTAATCTCACTCGGTGTTTCAGTCACTCCTTTCCGTCTTTGCATTTGTTCCCAGAGAACCAAAACACCTGAAAAACTGGTCTTCCTGTAGAGCTGTACGTTGCTTTTCTCTGTAATTAACCCCTTCAATTCAATCACATTTCCAAAGTTCCAACTCTCTATTCTTAAACCTTCCTACTCCCTTCTTCTTCCCCTTCAACAACACAATTCTCTTAAAAAAGAAAGTAGAAATTTAAGACCAGACAAGTTTCTCTGTTTTGTTCTGTTCCTTTCGCTTAAGAATTGGGTTTTGAATTGAGTTTCTGTTCAGTAAGGAAAAAATGTGTTCTGTCTTCTAGATGGTGAAAATGGTCTCTTTTCTGCTTTTCGTTTTTTTGGCGTTGAATTGTTTCATTGGGTTTGGATCAAACGTGCAACTGTTACCGGACGCAGAAGGCATGTAATGAAATTTCGTAATTTCGTTTAGCGTCTATTTGGATTGGAGGATTTGGAGAGGAAGGGGGGAGAGTGAGGATCGTATATGTCTTTTTCTTTATTAATGGAGAAAGAGGGAGATGAAGGGGCGATGAAGCCTCCCCACTCACCTGTTTCCCATCCTTTGAAATTGGTAGGATTGCGATGATTTTGTTTCCATATTTAATATTTTTTTAATTTTTTTAAAATAAATATATAAGAATTTTTAATTATTTTTAATTAATAAATTTTAAATATTTTATTTTTAAAAAAATTATTTAATTAAATAAAAATATTATCTTTTTATTTTCCTTTATTTTTATCTATCTAAATAAAATTGGCTAATGATACGTTTATCGTTGTTATCCACACGCAACGAGACAGGGTGAATTGAGTTGAATTGAATTTGGCAATTTGCAGCCATGCAAAAGAAACAGGCTGAATTGAATTTGCAGGATACAGCTCCTGCGTCTGCAAAATGAAAGAAACAGGGTGAAGAATCATTTTTCCCATGTTTGGTTGGAGGCTTCTCTGCTCTTTCCATAGCCTTTCTTTATTTCCCATATATTGTTTTTACTATTATCAGGCTGCTAGTCTTTGGATGACTAGCAAGGACGCTGTTGCATGCTCTCTGGAAGTTTTAATTAAAGAAATAAATAATTAAAATTTTATATAAATATAATTTATAAAATTTATATAAATAAATTCTCACTCAAATCATTTAAATATATTCGAAATTACCAAAGTGTGAAACGGGCATCCTCTATTCTAACCATGTTGTCCCTTGGTCAAGCCTAAGGTAAGGTATTTAATACGTATGGTTTTGACCATTTGGTCTAAGATGGTTTGCCTTAATTCTAAGCCTGAGCTGGTCATTTTTTTTTTTTTTTTTCAAAGAGCAATTTGAATATTATACGATAGCTCAAATGAGCAAAAACGTCATTAGCACATGCTAGGCCATATCATTAAGTACATAAGTCTTAATTGGATCGGGACCTCTTCTATCCAACGCTCATCTTCTGTAATTTGCAGCTCTACGTGCAAGTTCATGAGCCAACCGATTCCCTTCCCTTCGAATAAGCTGCAGACTACATGCTTCAAATCTAGTCATCAAGCTTTTATAGTCCTCCAGTAAATAAATTAAATGACATTTTAATAAATATATATATATACATACAATTACATTTAAACATTTTAAATTAAAAATTAAATTTACTAAAATTGAATGCAGGGAGTAACTAATTATTAAGATTAATATTTATCAAAGATTGCTATTGACTTATTTTTAACACTTCATAATTGTATGTTGCTAATTGCCTTATGCCTAACAGTCCAAATTCTTCAAGCTATATTCAGCAAACTGCAGCACAATAGTGAGACTGTTAGTGGAACATCTTGCACTGATATATATGGTGGATATGGAATCATGCCATTCTTACAAGTAATACGATTAATATCTTAAGCAACAGGACATGTGACTGTTCTGACGGAAACAATACTATTTGCCATGTCACCAACATGTATGGCCTCATTGCCCTTTATATAATATGTGCTGCATTTATATACATGTCCATGTGTTTATAGATTCTATACCGCTCCTATGTCTGTTCTGCTTATGAAGCCTAACTTCTATCCATAAAGAACACGTCATACACATTATTACTTATTCTGAAGTTGGTGATGGTAAACAGATTGAATGTCCTTCCTCTACCAGATGGTATATCATTGTTGTATTTCCTTCTCAAACTATATTACAATGATTTCACAATTTAAACCTCGACAAAGCTTTAACATGATATATGTTCTATAGACTCGAACAATCTAAAATCCAAATTAATTTAAGTACTTATAAATGTTCTCAGGGCCAATAAAAAGACGATTTGCAGAATTCTCCTCTTTCTAATCTCTGTTCTGCAAATAACTAGAGCTCAAATTGATTGGATAGAGGTCAGCTGCAGATGAAGAAGAAGAGGGAAGTGGCAAAGATTCTACAACGTACTTTGTGTCTGGTTTTCTTGAGCACCTTCTTCTGCAAGAGTCTGACAGAATTTCCTCAATGATGCTATAGATGTACCAAGATCGAGACTCAACTCATCAACATTAGTCTTCCCTTCAAGCATGCTCACTACAGAAGACATAATAGGCCTAGCAGCTGGAGCAGGGTTAGTGCATAGCAGTACCACATTTATCATTTTAATTGCTTCATTTTTGTTGTAGTTAGATCCCAGTCTTGGATCAATTAATTCTAACAAGTTGCCTTTCTCCTTCAAAAGAAGAGCCTGCAAACAAGAAAAATATTGCTTTCTTGGCGTTGCAAACTCAACAAAATGAATATTGTAGTGGAAGAAAGAATGAGAATTTTGGTACCCAATCAATAAGATAGAAGCTATTTTCTTTTGTTTTGCTAATTGTGTTGCTTCTTCCGCTAACAATTTCCAAGGCCACAATTCCAAAACTATAAACATCTACTTTGTCAGTTAAGTAACCTCGTGTTGCATATTCAGGAGCCATGTAACCCCTACAAATTCAAGGATACATAGAATGTATTTTCTATATTAGGTATTCAAGTAATTCAATTATCATATAAAATGTAAAACAGCTATCATCAATTATATTCAGGCACTGGAAGCGATGATACTTACATAGTTCCAGCAATGCGAGTACTAATATGGGTATTATCCTCTTCATCAAGCTTGGCAAGTCCAAAGTCAGATATTTTAGGATTTAGATCCTTATCAAGCAATACATTGGTAGCCTTGATATCTCGGTGCACGATCTTCAACCTTGATTCTTCATGGAGATAAGCTAAACCTCTTGCTATACCAATGCAGATCTTCTGTCTAGTTGGCCAATCTAATTTCAACTGGCATTCTTTTGGGCCTGAGAAATTCAAAATAAAAGGTTAATAGCCACTTTGTAAGTTCATTCATGGACCCCTTTTTTTAAACTACAAGTGCATTTAGAAATGTACCAAATAATGCACGAGCAAGGCTGTTGTTCTCCATGTACTCGTATATTAGCAAGAGTTGATTTCCTTCAATACAACATCCATATAGCTTTACTAGATGAGGATGTTGCAGAGCAGAAATCATGCCAATTTCATTCACAAATTCGCGATTTCCTTGCTTTGACTTCGCTGATAGCTGCTTAACAGCAATAGCCTTACCATCTGTTAAGTGGCCCTGCATTTAAGAAATACCATGAGTTTCAAACAAGCTTTCCCTAGGATTAAGGGGGAACATTAGTAGTACTTGATACCTTGTAAACAGGACCAAAACCACCTTCTCCAATCTTATTAGCAAGATCAAAGTTGTTGGTAGCTCCTTTAATCTGCCTCAAACTAAAAGAACCTGTCTGCAAGCCCAAACCTTTTAGATCTGCAGAAGATGAGCAAGACCATAAGATTATCATTTATACAATGACTGTTAAACTCTCTTGATTCCAAGTATCTTGAATTAAATTTAAATGAGCATTTATCATGTCAGCATGTCATTTAAAAGGAAAGAGGGATGATAGTTTTTTTTTCTTTTTTTGAATAACGGAAAGAAAAATGATAATATTTTTTAAGAAAATTCTGTAGTACTAAATTCGTTTCCAGAAGTTTTGAAAAAGCCAGTATTGTAATTAAATGCTAATCTCCCTTTAGTACCTTGTTCCAGTGTGTTTTTCTGTCCTAAGTAGCGTTTCCACCAAAGAATACCAAAGATCAGAAGGAGAGCAAATGCTGCTCCAACCAGAACTAGAACTCCGACCACCAGGCTCCAATTTTCAGACGGGGGTACAAAATCTGCAGATTGTACTACTTAATTGCATTGAATCTTTAGATAAAAACATGTGGCACAATTTGACTGCTAGGTCTAATGTAATGCCAATAAGGCAGGCTCTATAAGTTACATGTCAGAAGAAAAAACTTAGATGCAAGAAGGAATTTGCAGTATTACACAACTTACTAGGATTAATGGATATAGCTGATATAAGAGGACCATAAACTCCTTTGACAGGAATATCTGTTGTTCCTTTTCCAGCCCAATATAGACGAATCTCCAAGGTACCCTTGGTCACAGCAGCAGAAAAGATTTTTATAGTAGCCTTGCCTACCCCACCTGCTTCATCCACAATGTTGAAATCCTTCTGCACCAGTTTGCCCTGCAATTATGAATTTCAACTAGTGAACATTCCATTCAGACCTATGTTGCTTTTTCCTATTTTCTAGATTTAATCAAACATAGAAAATGCAAGAGTTTCTAGAATCAAAACCAGTCTTACCTACCTGAATGTAAATATCAAATATGCGCCTCCCCAAGCTGCTATATGTCTTATCATCAGTGAACCTTATTTCCGCAAAATGGAGATTTACTGTGTAGTTCCCATTTCCCATACAGAATGCATAATAAGTGAGAGAGATGGCTGAAAGGCGTGCACTCTTGTACAATTTTGAATCTTTCATAGAGAGTTCAGAATTGGTCATCAAGGTAAAGTGGTCTACACTTTTCTTATCATTGAAGTGGCCAGTGCTACTAAGTGCCCAATCACCATCACCATGTACAACAAGTTTTGAAGCTACTTCTTGATCTGTATCTCCTTCATATGTGGTTTTGTTTACAATTACCTTGTCTCCGCCACAGTTAATATTGAGATGATACCTTTCTAGAAAACAAAGAGAACAGCTC